AAGTTGTTTCTTATATATAGAATTGAATTTCTACCTTTCGACAAAGTATTAGTTTTTAACAGACCTAGTTCAAGTTCATCTCTGTAACACCTTCCTATTACCACTGCATATAAAACTATCTTAGCATTTTAGTTTTGAATGTCTGCTTTGGATCTTTTTCTGTGACACACTAGTTTACTTGTGGGACCTTGTTTAATTAGAATCATTCTCACAGTGTCTAATATATGAACTTTGTAAATATATATTTTTATTTTCCTAAAACCTTTTCTTCTTCTATAAGATGGTGTGTAATGCATTATTTACTTTTCTAAGTATACTTTTAAGCTAAATAGTAGCTGCCTTTTGTTAAACTGCTGTGTGCCAAGAACTTGCATGCTTTATTTTTCAACAACCATTGCAAAGTGACTTTGTATTTTATAGAGGAGAGAATCAAGACTTAGCGATACAGTTTACTTTAACCATGATATATGCCTAGGAAGCAGGAGAGTTAGGACTTAGCCCAAGGCCAGTTTGTTCTTAATGCTTATGGGTATTCATTGCACTGTAATCCTTTTCCATTTTCTTTTCATTTGTTCAAGTCAAGTAAGCTTCTAAAGAGTTATCAATTTTTTCCCAATAGCCACGATATGAGAGCAGTTCAGTCCAGACTCCATTTTCAGAGCAGTCATTGCCCCATCCCCAACATGAAGATCTGGAGCAAAAACTAGCATCTACTGAGAAAGAAATTTTACAGCTCAATGAGTTTCTCAAACAAAAATTAAACCAATTTAGTGAAGAGAAGAAGAAACTGGAGGAAAAGGTAAGTATATTGAGTAAGATTGTAGTGGGTCTACAACATTTCTTCAACAAAGAATATTTGTCTGCTGTTTACCCTGTTCCAGGTTACACATTTACATTAATTAGTATTATGTCTACTAATTTTTGAGAAATCCTGTGCTATCTGCAAAAATTTAAGAATTTTCCTAAGGAATAAAAATATACCTTTCTAGGGTTGGAGAGATGGCTCACTGACTGCTCTTGCAGAGGACCTGGGTTTGATTCCCAGCACCCACAAGGCAGTTAAGAACCGTCCTTAACTCCAGTTCTGGGGGAATCCAACACCCTCTTCTGATCTCCGTGGCATTGCATGACATGGATGTACTCACATACATGCAGGCAATACACTGTACATATAAAATAAAAATAAAAAAAATACTTTTCTAACTCGTAGTGAAACTTTTAAAGTCAGTTGCCTATACCAGTGACTGTTTTCCTTTTCCTTATTGGTTTGCCATACCCTGTTTCTTGGCCTCATTGAACATAAAGTATTGGAAAATGAAGCAAAACTGATTTTATTTCATAAGGACATTACCTCGTGTTATTAAGTTGAAGCTCTTGATTCCATCTGAATAAGTAACTTTCATGTCGTGTATATGTGATTTTTGTATCTAAAAAAAAAAAATCCATGATTCACAAGTGAAAGAAAACGTTCAATATTTATATTTCTGAGTTTTGCCTGTTTTAATGAATACTGTCATCTCCACTTGCATTCATTTTCCTGATAATGACATTTCATTCTTTATGGCTGAATTAAGCTCTATTGTGTATATATACCACATTTTCTTCATCCATTTATTTGTTGATGGACAGCTAGACTAATTCTGTAGATTGGCTATTGTGTATAAGGCTGTAATAAGCTTGGGTGTGTAGTATCTCTGTGGTATGCTGGTATGTTGACTTAGAATCCTTCAGGTTTATGCTCAGGAGCTGTATAGGCTGGTTCATATGGCAGTTCCAGCTTTAGTTTTATGAAAAACCACTATATGGAAATCCACTGTGGCTAATTTACATTTCATTTCTACCAGCAATGTGTGTGTGTGTGTGTGTGTGTGTGTGTGTGTGTTGTCTTTCCCCCACATCCTCCCAGCTTTTTTTGTTATTTTCTTTATGAAAGCCATTCTGACCAGAGTGAGAGGGAATTTCACTGTAGTTTTAATTTATGTTTCCCTGATGGGCTAAGGGTGGTTGAACCTTTTTTTTAATATATATTTATCATTTATTTATACTTCATCTTTTGAAAACAGTCTGAAATTCCTTGAAGTTGAAACAAAACATAGACAAAAGTACTAATTATTTTCATTTTATGTGTATGAGTGTATTGCCTGCATGCATATAAGTACATCCATGTCATGCAGTGCCCACAGAGGTCAGAAGAGAGTGTTGGATTCCCCTGGAACTGGAGTTCCAGGAGCTCTTAACCACAGAGCCCTCTCTTCACCACCCCCCCATAGCTTTTCTCAATTCAGAATTGTAGTGAGATATTTTTGAAGTTATTTTAAACATCTTTAAACTACACAGTTTAAGCATGAGCATAACATTACTTAAATAATAAAGATATGGATAGCTTTGTCCAAATTTGTATATGTGTAGGCAATAAGAATTTTTATCATTGTTGCCACTTGGCTTACTATGATCTATAAATGTCATCAGTTGTAAAAGCAAACAGATATATCTCCCCGACTCTTTATTTCAGTGATAGAAAGGTTTGGGAGGAAAAAGAACCTTGAAATGAAATAATACAGATTTTAGCTGTGTTGTTGGTGATCTTCACTATAGACTCTGAGACTCTTCAATAAAATTCAGCGATACCCAAGATTGAAATGTTTGTTTTGTAATTTTTAATGACTCAAAACAACTGAAGATTCATATTTTTCTTTAGCTGAAAACCAGAGATAGATACATCAACAGCCTGAAAAAGAAGTGTCAGAAGGAAGCTGAACAAAATAAAGAAAAGCAGAGAAGGATTGAGACCTTGGAAAAATATCTGGCTGACCTTCCAACTCTAGATGATGTACAGAGTCAGAGTCTACAGGTAATAGGATAAAATACTCATCTTTTAAATGCATGCTATTTTACACTAATGTTTTTAGGACTTAGATATTTAGAAATTAAATATATATTCCGTTAATGCTTCTAGAATTTTAATTGAGTCATAAACTGTTCATTAAGCATGAATTGTCAATATGTGATTGACTTCCTAATAAACCTATGTGGTAAATGTCTTAATTGTGTGTGTGTGTGTGTCTTTTTTGAGACAGGGTCTCCCTGTAGGCCCATCAGACCTGGCACTCAATCTGGCCTCAATCTCTCAGAGATTTGCCTGCTTCTGCTTCCCAAGTTCTGAGACTAAAGGCATGCACCACCATGCCTGGCTTAACGTTCTAATTTTAAACTTTATTTTTTATTTATTATTCTATGTTGGGGAGCATGCCTATGCCAAGGCATGTGTAAGCATCAGAGGACAACTTTGTGGAGTTGGTTCTGTCCTTCCACCTTCATGTGGGATCCAGGGATCAAATCCCGTTATCAAGCTTGTGCTGCAAGTACCATTATCTGCTGAGCCATCTTACTAGCCCTTAATTTTTCAATTTTTAAAAGGTAGTAGTTCTAAATCAGTCTATAAACTCTGTCCCATAAACACTCATTCTGGCTTTCTCCAGTGTTCTCTGGGATTCAAGATGCTTCAAAATCTTTTGTTAAGTATCTTTATAGATGTTCATTTTTTTTATTGTTCTTAATCTTGCTATAATTTTTTTCTAAATACCTTGATCTGTAACCTCTGTTAAAGATCTTCTGTTCATTCCTCTACTTCTATTTTTCTTTCTTAAAACCTAATCCAAAGTTTTTCCACCAACTCTGGTAAATGCTACCTTCTTGAAACATTATGAATTCCTTATATTTCTTTAGTCTTTTCTGTCATTCCAAGCCAGGGATCCTCAACCTTGACACTAATGACATTCGGGGGACAGGGAGAGGGGCAGGAATTGTTTTGTGATATTGGTCTGTCTTGTGCATTGAAGGATGCATAGTTCTTAGAATCAGTCCTTCTGGCCTCTATCTACTAAATGATCATAGTACTGCTTCTCTCTCCCAAACTGAAAATGTTAACATGTATTTTTTATGTATTTTGAAGTTTCCTATGGGAGGTAAAAATCCCCCCCACTTGAGAATCTATATAATTCAAGGATTGCTATTCTGTGTACTCTAGGTTCTTTATAGACAAAAATTCTATATTTTATGTCAATTTATAAGAGCTAAAACTAAGAGAGATTAAATATAGGAAGGTGCTTAAGGACCATAGGAGATTGCATGAGCAGGAACAGGCAGCAATATAGATTTAAAACAAAGAGAACATACCACTTTACACCCATTAGAATGGCTACTACCAAGAGTCATGGTGTTCATACACCCTGTGTATAACAGTGTTATTTACAGTAGTCAAAACATGGAACAGTGAGGTGTGCATGAGTGGGTGGTTAAAACAAAAGATGATGCATATAAAATGGTCTATTATGGGCTCTTAAAAAGGAAGGAAATTTTGACACATGCTTCAGCATGGATAAACCTAGAGAGCATGTTATTAAGTAAAACAGTCCAGGCACAAAAAGGCAAATATTGTATGATTATATTTACATGAGGTCCAAAGGCACTCAAATTACAGAGACAAAGTAGAAGTGTGGTTGCCAGGGAAGTATGAACAGTGGTTGGGAAGTAATTTAATGGGTACAGAGGTTAGTTGTATAAATTGAGTTCTAGGCTTGAATGTACCTAATGCTAAGGAATTATGTATTTAGATATGGCTAACATGTTAAATTTTATTGTTTGTTTTATAATACTTAAACATAGAATTTAAAAAAATAGTAAAAAGTATTATGAACCTTTCTGCCTTCTAGAAAATTTTATCTAATCTTTCTCATATTCCCATTCTCTTAACTCTCACATAAAGAGATAGCGTTTAAGTTTTCTAGATAAAATGAAGATAGAATGATTTTAGCAATGTCTGTTAATTCTTTAGAATAGTGGTAATTTTCATGGAAATATATTCAGTACTACATGCATTACAGAGTATAAAAAATTTTCCTTAGCTGCAGGTTCTTGAAGAAAAGAACAAGAATTTACAAGAGACTTTGATAGATACAGAAAAAAAGCTTGAGGAGATTAAAAAGCAATGTCAAGATAAAGAAGCACAGTTACTATGCCAGAAAAAGAAAGAGAAGGAGTTAGTAACTTCAGTTCAGAGGTAAGGAAACTTTCCAAATCTTTGACACTATTTTAAAGTTGGTAATATTTTCATAAGCCGTGTTTCATTTAAAAATATATTAATCATAATTACCTTATTCTCCATAGATATGTACTATATGATTTCATTGAAGTTGATTGTTTAGTTGTAATTTAATATTTTGAAGCACTACACCAACATCTTACCAAAAATTTTAGGTGAGAATAGTAGAAGAAGGAGCAGACAAGAACCACCCAACAACTGAAGACTCAAAGTAGGAATACAAACTCTTGATGGCTTTATCAAAGCAAGTGAGAATTCTAAATAAAAAGTAACTTATGAAATACTTCGCACTTCCTACAAGACTTGCACCAAGGGGAAGTGATGGCTTATTTCTTCACTCTGAATGACAGGTTGCTTTGTGCTTTCTAAATCTGCTCATACATCTCCTTGCCTCATTCCTCTTTAAAAGCAATACAGTTAGAAACTACAGTGAATAGCATTTGTCAGGTTGTATTCAGACTTGGAAATTATTATTGGATACCTAAAAAAAAATTTTAAACCTATTATATGCATAAATTGGTATTCTTGTTCGTAAACTTAAACCCTAATATCAACCTTGAATAGGTCTAACTATTTTGACAAGTAAAATAGTGAAACAAGAAAACGCTGAGTTCAGGAAATATATTCCTCATGATTATATCAGTTATAAACTCATTATATTCTATCAGTTATAAACTTTATATTCAGGTTCTATATAAAAATCCATCAGATTCTATGTTAATTCCATGTTAATATTGCTTTACTGTTTTAAAATCTTAAATATACTTAATTTACTTATTTTCTCTTCAATTTCAGTACAGAGAAATCTCTGATTTCTATTCCTAAAGTCAGCTCTAAAAACAATCATAGTTTTGATTTTGTTTTTATCCTAGATTTTTCTTTCTTACACTTTAATTTCTCTTTTATGAATTCATATTTTATATGTATTGTTTAATCTTCAGAATTTTTTCTTTAGTCTTAAAACAGTTTTCTGATCACTAATTCCAGCATTTTATCTTTGTTGACTAAAATGAAAGCAATCTGTTTGTTTTATAGACCACTGTTGTCATAGGAGACTTAAAGTGTGGGGCCGAGGAACAGAATTAGCAAATCCTGAAAGCAAATACCATTTTGTCC